CCCACAATACCAGGGGACACAGACGGGGACACACACACACACACACACACACACACACACACAACACACACACACACACACACACACACACACACACACACACACGCACTTTCATTTGCTGATCCTAGTTCAGAAGGCTCATGCCATGGAAATTCACACTTGAAATAAATATTCTTGTATTATGGAGTGGAAGTACCAGTGTGACTGATTACAGCATGCCTAGGTGCTCTATAACATAAATACACTCACTGTATTACATTTGTAAAAATGTAAAGTAGTTGCATTTTGAAAAGTGTCTGACCTCTAGTACTTAGGGTGAAGAATTATAAGCTTTCACTGTCTTTCATATTAATCTCAATATTTAGGAGCATTTGGGAAAGTATTTACATTGTGTACTTGATTAATCCAGAGGCTAAATTGAAACACCAGTGGTTTCCTATTTAATAAGTTCACCTACAGAACTGTGGTCAAATTCAAGCTGCAGTAATACATTAAGGTGCATTACCATGTCTAGACACACTTCATATACCATCTAATATTCCCAGAGAATGTCTCCTGCCCAAGCATATTATTTTCTTAATGAAATAAACCTCAGAAATGCCTGTGAGACTCAAACACCAGACAGAATGAGGAAGTACTTGCAGCCTGCCTCTGAACCCAGCTCAGAGCTTCCTAAGGCAGCTTTACAGTCAGGTACTGTTGAGTGAGTGCTTTAATCAGAGATGAGTGTATGTCTCATTTGCTCAATAGGTAAGCACATATACTCTGTTATTCCTAACTGAGGTCAAAGTTGCACCAACTAGCCAAAAGGCCCTTCTGATTTCCACCATATCCACAAAATCTCTCATGTATTGTTAGCCTCCGAGTTTAAACAACAAAAATTGGGCTACCATTCTGAAAAAGTCCCAGGGATAGGAATTAGATGTTACAAGATTAGGAATACTTTTAGGAGGTTCATCTGCCAAATGATTCACCCATCAAGCCTTCATTAGTATTAGAAGGGCACAGTAGTAGAAGCCAGATATGCAGTGTGAGGTCACCCCAGCTGGGTGTGTATCCTCACATGCGACCTTCTCATATGACAACCCCTCCATTTTCCCATCTCTGAAATGACTACCTACTTTCGAGAGATCTTGTGAAGGTGGAATATAATTTCCCCCTGAAGCTCACAGCTCCATGTCTAACACACAGCTCTCTCTGACTGTGAGAGCATTGGGCAGAAACAGTCAGACTCATATAGAAGGTTGGTTGGGCTGATTTTTTCACCTACTGCTGCGCTACAAAGGAGAAACCTTTCCATTCTTCTCCTACCTAACACCTGTGTGATCTGTTTCTGGTATTTAAAAGACATCCAGGTAGACTTTTGACAGCAACATTGAGAATAGCAGGCATTTGGGGAACAGAATAAGGAATCAGAAAGCAGGGAGCAGGAGAGGCTCCCACAGTTTGGAAGGGACTCCTCAACATAGGGAGAGATTTCATTCTGCAAAAAATCCTCCAAAGACTGACTGCCACCAGGTAGGTGGACATCCAAGCAGAATGAAATCCCAAGGAAATTAAATATGAAACGCGACTGCCTCGTATCTGTCAAGGGCAGAGTGACAAGCTTAGAGGCCTCAAATTTCCCTTCTCCACTGATGCTTCCATTTCATTCATGACTCTGATGAAGCAGAAAGTTCCAAGACAATGGATATCTCAGCAGTCATCTCAGAGGACACATGCTCGGTGACCAGAAGGCCACGGTGTTAGGGTACAACCTCATGGAGTGGGAGACTCCAGTTGACTATTCTAGTAGTCAACAGGTAATTCAGACTCCAAAACAATGTTGAGTTGTGGCAAGATGATATCTTGGGCATCTGGCGCTAAGTATAAAAATTATGTGTACTTTAGTTATCTAAGCTGCGTGTGTGTGTGTGTGTGTGTGTGTTCATGATAGTCAGTAGGTCAATGTGTGTGTGTATGTGTAGGTAACATTGTGTCTCTGCTATTGCTCTACTCAGTAGAACCAGAAGTCACAGATTGGCTAGACTGGCTGTCCAGTGGGCTCCAGGGGTCCTCTTGTCTACCCCTCCTTTCCCCAAGTTATAAGATTACAGAACTACTTGTTGTCCATTTTCTTTTTTTAGTGGGTTCTAGGGATCAGGACTTTGTCCCCCATGCTCGTGTGGCAAGCACTTTACCGACTGAGCATCTGTCCTAAGCCTCTAAGTCATTTTACTTGCTCTGTATCATCATCTGTGCTAGGCTTGGAGTCCAGTGGAATGACAAGACCAGGGCCACTGCATGCTGAGAGTCTGCAGTTCAGCAGGAGAGACTGGCAGTACTTTTGCAGGAAGTGGAGCAACAAGGTGGAGTCTGGGAAACAGAACCAAGCCTACAGGTCAAGGAGAGAATAGAAAGCCGAGAGGTAAGTTTCTTTCTGTTACAGACTGGGCAAACCACATTCTCAGAACTCCAGGGATGAGAAGGGAGCTTTTTTTTTTTTTTTTTTTTTTTTTTT